TTTTTTTCTTTTAAAATTTTCCATTTTAAGTTGGTTATTTCTGATTTATATTTAAAAGCAAATAATAATGATATGGTAGGAGATGCACACCAAACAGGATGTGTAAATTATTATATAATAAGTATTGTGCAATAACAAGAAATTTTCAATTGCACAGTATTGCACAATAGCAAGAAATCTTCAATTGCACAGTATTGCGCAATAGCAAGAAATCTTCAATTGCACATTATTGCGCAATAGCAAGAAATATCCAATAGCACAATATTGTGCAATAGCAAGAAATATTCAATTGTACAGTATTGCGCAACAGCAAGAAATATTTAATTGCACAGTATTGTGCGAAAGAAGATACTTCGTATAAATTGCTTATTTCTTGACCAATTTCAATGGGGTTTTATTCTTGAATTCTTGGGGTTCTTTAATATGCTGAATCTAACCGTGTATTTAGTTTTTGGATTTTGGGCCCCGTTTTTAAATTGGTCCACATTGAGGTCCAAAGGGTCCAAAATTAAACTTTGTTTGATTTCATCAAAAATTGAATTATTGGGGTTCTTTGATATGCCGAATCTAACCGTGTATTTAGATTCTTAATTTTTGGTTCCGTTTTCAAATTGGTCTACATTAAGGTCCAAAGGGTCCAAAATTAAACTTAGTTTGATTTTAACAAAAATTAAATTCTTAGGGTTCTTTGATATGCTGAATCTAAACATGTATTTAGATTTTTGATTATGGGCCCAGTTTTCAAGTTGGTCCAAATCGGGGTCCAAAATAAAACTTTGTTTGATTTCAACAAAAATTGAATATATGGGGTTCTTTGATATGCTGAATCTAACCATGTATTTAGATTTTTGATTTTTGGGCCCCATTATCAACTTTTTCCACATTGAGGTCCAAAGGGTCCAAAATTAAACTTTGTTTGATTTCATAAAAAATTGAATTCTTGGGGTTCTTTGATATGCTGAATCTAACCATGTATTTAGATTTTGGATATTGGACCATAAAAGGTGAATGTCCAATTTAAAATTTTTAAGTTCTTAGACCACATTCATTCTATGTCAGAAACCTATGCTGTGTCAAATATGTAATCACAATCCAAATGCAAAGCTGTATCAAGCTTGAATGTTGTGTCCATACTTGCCCCAACTGTTCAGGGTTCGACCTCTGCGGTCATATCAAGCTGCGCCCTGCAGAGCATTTTATTGTAAATTTTTGTAATCTTTTACAATAATCTTCTTCTCTGAAACTACTGAGACAAATTTAACCATACTTGGCAATAATCATTATTAGGGTATATAGTTTAAAAAATTTGTCCGATGACCCCGCCTTCCAACCATCATGGCCGACTTGGTTAAAAATTGAACATAGGGGTAAAATGCAGTTTTTGGTTAATATCTCTGAAACTAAAGCATTTAGAGCAAATCTGACTGGTGGCAAAAATGTTCATCAGAATTAGATTATCTGCCCTGAAATTTTCAGACGAATCTGACAACCCGTTGTTGGGTTGCTGCCCCTGAGTTAGTAATTCTACAAAAATTTTGCAGTTTTTATACTACCGCAAAAAAATTTTTGTGGTTTTATATTGGTATGACGTTGGCGTCGTCGTCCGGCGTCGTCCTGCGTCGTCCTGCGTCGTCCGAAGACACATTGGTTTTCGCACTCTAACTTTAGTTTAAGTGAATGGATCTCTATCAAATTTTACCACAAGGTTCAATACCACAAAAGGAAGGTTGGGATTGATTTTGGGGGTTATGGTACCAACAGTAAAGGAATTAGGGGCCAAAAATAAGCATTTTTGTAACTTCCAGACATAACTTGTGTGTTAGTGTATGGATCTCTCTGACATTGTACCACAAGGTTCCATATCACAAAAGGAATGCTGGGATTGATTTTGGGGGTAATTGCCTCAAAATTTTAGGAATTAGGGGCCAAAAAAGGGGCAAAAAACAAGCATTTTTCTAGTTTCATGACAATAACTTGTGTGTAAGTGTATGGATCTTTCTGAAATTGTACTACAAGGTTCCATATCACAAAGGGAAAGCTGGGTTTGAGTTTGGGGGTAATTGCCCTAAACGTTTAGGAATTAGGGGCCAAAAAGGGGCCAAAAAACACTTTTTTCTAGTTTCCAGACAATAACTTGTGTTCAAGTGTATGGATCTCTCTGAAATTGTACTGCTAGGTACCATACCACAAAAGGAAGGCTGGGATTGAGTTTGGGGTGATGAATCATAAGGGGGTTCAAAAAATTGGGGGGGGGGGATTTTTATTTTTTTCCTTTTTTTTCTTTTTTCCTTTTTTTTTTCTTTTTAAATTTTCCATTGTAAGTTGGTTATTTCTGATTTATATTTAAAAGCAAATAATAATGATATGGTAGGAGATACACACCAAACAGGATGTGTAAATTATTATATAATAAGTATTGTGCAATAGCAAGAAATTTTCAATTGCACAGTATTGCACAATAGCAAGAAATCTTCAATTGCACAGTATTGCGCAATAGCAAGAAATCTTCAATTGCACAGTATTGCGCAATAGCAAGAAATATCCAATAGCACAATATTGCGCAATAGCAAGAAATTGTCAATTGTACAGTATTGCGCAATAGCAAGAAATATTTAATTGCACAGTATTGTGCAAAAGAAGATACTTCGTATAAATTGCTTAATTCTTGACCAATTTCAATGGGGTTTTATTCTTGAATTCTTGGGGTTCTTTAATATGCTGAATCTAACCGTGTATTTAGTTTTAGGATTTGGGGCCCTGTTTTTAAATTGGTCCACATTGAGGTCCAAAGGGTCCAAAATTAAACTTTGTTTGATTTCATCAAAAATTGAATTATTGGGGTTCTTTGATATGCCAAATCTAACCGTGTATTTAGAATCTTAATTTTTGGTTCCATTTTCAAATTGGTCTACATTAAGGTCCAAAGGGTCCAAAATTAAACTTAGTTTGATTTTAACAAAAATTGAATTCTTAGGGTTCTTTGATATGCTGAATCTAAACATGTAGTTAGATTTTTGATTATGGGCCCAGTTTTCAAGTTGGTCCAAATCGGGGTCCAAAATTAAACTTTGTTTGATTTCAACAAAAATTGAATATATAGGGGTTCTTTGATATGCTGAATCTAACCATGTATTTAGATTTTTGATTTTTGGGCCTCGTTATCAACTTTGTCCACATTGAGGTCAAAAGGGTCCAAAGTTAAACTTTGTTTGATTTCATCAAAAATTGAATTCTTGGGGTTCATTGATATGCTGAATCTAACCATGTATTTAGATTTTGGATATTGGACCATAATAGGTGAATGTCCAATTTAATATTTTTAAGTTCTTAGACCACATTCATTCTGTGTCAGAAACCTATGCTGTGTCAGATATTTAATCACAATCCAAATGCAAAGCTGTATCAAGCTTGAATGTTGTGTCCATACTTGCCCCAACTGTTCAGGGTTCGACCTCTGCGGTCGTATCAAGCTGCGCCCTGCGGAGCATTTTATTTGTTATTATCTTAGATATCATTATAATATCTAATATCTAATACTATTAATTATGATTTTAACCTTATTTTACATGATTTCCAAAGCATCAGTTAATACAGGTGAGCGACACAGGCTCTTGAGAGACTCTAGTTGAGTATTTACTTGCATAAGAGGTGCATAGCGTTTCCAGATAACTCCTCCTACAGTGAACCATAGACCTATGTGCTCCCATGCTCAACTTTGTGTATTTTGAAATAACACTTTGCATTTGCGGGGGCATCATTTGTGTCTCCCAGACACAATAATATCACAAAGGAAGTCCTACATTGACTTTGTTATAATACAGTTACTTCAGAGTTGAGTGCGGGGGCATCAGTTTGTCTAGTCTTATATTAAATCTAACAGAGTTAATAACCAGCATGATACTGGCCATTATACATATTCAAGTTTACGATATGGGCAGAGGAATTGAGGAAAAGGCTACCACTACCGCCTACCTGAAATGAATTGCGCATCTTGATCCAACTAAGCAAGATACAAATTATAATTATATTAGTAATGTTCTAACATAACCTACTAAGTTTAAAGCTTGTGATCATAGACCCCTTCATGTCACTTTTTGAATAAAAAATAAAGAGTACATATTATGAATAGAAAATACTTAATATTTGTGCACATTAATAATTTTTACTGTCAAGCTCTATATTATGTTTTGAACAAAATTTCTAACATATTTATAGCTTATCGCATATTCGTATACATGTATTATTTTTTGGAATTCTTATTTTTCATATTTGTTTGTGGAAAACAGAAGAATCAGGTGAGTTAATAAAAATGATCAGAACTGTGTGATGACTATAATTGGGATAATTATCAGTCAGTGGTAGTTGCATTGACAGTTTGTTAAAGTTTGTTATTAGATCAGTTTAAGCAGAACCAATTGCATAGCTTTCATGATAAAGTTGGTGATTAGGTCAGTTTAAGGGGAACAAAAAATTGTAAGCTAATGATATTTGGTATGCAGTTGTGTAAGCATTGGCACACTTGTTTCAATAGAGATAATTTGGCACGGCAATTTTTTCGCATAGTTTATGTTTTAAAGTTTGTGATTAGGCCAGGTTATGGGGAACAACTAATGATAAGTCAATGAGTTATCTCCCCTTTTTAAGCAAACCTTTAAAAATTTGACATCAATCAAAAAATATTCTTTAAGATAGTCTTAAATTTTTTTTAAAAAGAGTGCAAAAAATACCTGATTGCATAACCAAATAAATAGAGAATGTGGACACAGATGATGCCCCAGCTTGCATATAACGTTATAAAGAGACTTAAACATAAACCAATTTCGGGATGTACATACGTACGGACAGAGGTACAGACAGACAAGGGTAATGCTTAATGTCGCCTCAGCTGCGACGGGGGCATAAAAATAGAAAATCTGAGAAAGTCTCATTGTAAATTGTATGTTCATTCATGTTTTTTCCTTTAAATTTGTTGATGATAATACATTTGTTTTCATTCTGTTTCAGAGTTTATAGAAGTATTATGTATTCCTATTGATGAACTTCTTAACAAATTAAATGGTAAGTATATATATATTTCCTTATTTTTGAAAACCTTCCAAAGAAATCTTTATGCCCCAACTACAATAGTAGGGGGCAAGGGAGCTTTGTGTTTTCTGGACTGTGTGTGTCCATCCATCTGTCCTTTTGTCTGTCCATCCATTATCTGGTTAAATTATGGTTTAAGTTACTAGTAGTTGACCATGCAGTTGTGGTCACAAAAACTTGAAAATAGTGCACATTTTCATTATGATGTTAACTTTTTTTAAAAACACTTAACCAAATATTTTTTTTTTACTCAGATTTTGTGGTTCGCTATCATGTTAAAGTTTTGGTTTTCAGAATGACTTTATATATGATCAGCGGATTGAAAATGACGAGTTGTATTGTATTCACACTTTTTGAATCTGTCAGATGCCTACTCCCTGTTCGCCAATACTTTGAATTTTTCAATATGTTTAATGAACTACTGAACAGAATTACTTCATATTTGGGTGTATGCATAGCACGACAAATACATGCATTCTCTTTGATATTGTTTAATATCAACTGCTAAACACAATATGCAACCTTTGGTTTCATTTGCTGATCTCACTTGTCAAAAAACTTCATAAAGTGACTGGCAGCTGATATTTTACAGTATGAATATTCAGAAAACTTTATAGTTGGTACACATCAATTTCTTTGTATAAGACATCTTGTGGATAAATATCTCTTTGAGTAAGATTATTGCTCATATCTAAATATTGTTGGAAAATTCTAATTGTGAGGCAATTTTGGTACTTTTTGCACTTTTTCCTTAAATGCATAAATTCTTTTTGATTTTCTAATTGAATACTATTTCCCTTTTCACACTAAAAATTGTTTTGTTTGCTATTGAACAAGATGTATAGATTGGCAGTTAATCTTCATGAGGATCCTCATAAGTTTTTATACCTTTGTGTATTGAAATATAAAAATAAGAAGATGTGGTATTAATGCCAATGAGACAACTCTACACAAGTGACCAAATGACACAGAAATTAACAGCTATAGGTCATGGTACGGCCTTCAACAATGAGTAAAACCCATACTGCATAGTCAGCTATAAAAAGCCCAGAAATGACAAATGTAAAACAAAAAAACAAAAAAACTAAAGGCCTGATTTATGTACAAAATAATGAACGAAAAACAAATATGATATACAGCAACAAACGACAACCACTGAATTACAGGCTCCTGACTTGGAACAGGCACATACAGAATGTGGCGGGGTTAAACATGTTAGCGGGAGCCCAACCCTCCCCCTAACCTGGGACAGGGGTGTAACAGTACAACATATGAACAAACTATAAAAATCTGTTGAAAAGGGCTTAACTCATCAGATTGATACAAAGCACAAAAACAAGTTACAAAAACACAGAGTGGAAGTGGCAGAGTACTTATACATCCCCATAACAAAAAGACACTAAGTACAGATCTTAGAGTACTTGAAATTACTGACTGCTAGTTCAAAGCGAATAACAACTAATAAAAAAAATCATGCATCAAAGACTGAAAAAAGTTCTCTTATGATTATTATATAATATTGCTTATTTATTACTACATAAAAAAACATCTTTTTTTCCTTATTTAAATTTAAAAATAAAAATAATAAATGATTTGTTTATATTTCAGACTATACTGTACAAGGAGTTGTAGTGAATACGATGGTCTATTCATATGCAATTGCTATGGAACAGTCAAAGAAATCAAAAAATAAATCTTTATAATATATCACATTGTGTTATAACAAAAAGGAAAGTTCATGTGGTTAGGCTTCTCATTTGAATTGTTTCACATTTTGTCATGTCAGGGCCTGTTATGGCTGACTATATGGAAAGGGTTTTTGTCATTATTGAAGGCCTTGCAGTGCCTAAAATTGCTTACATCCACATTATTTGGACTCCAGTGGATAGTATGTTGTCTCATTGGAAATCATACCATATCTCCTTATTTTGATGAGCAGTGAAGTGGCAAATACCAGTTTAAAGCCATTGTTTGTACCCATCTGGGGATTATACTTGTGACCTTTCTCACTTAACAAGCAAACTTTAATTCACATGACCACTAAGCAATTTGATGTTGTAGAAGATGGATGAGTTTTTATGCCCTACCTAGGGCACTATGTTTTTCGGTCTGTGCGTTCGTTCGTCCGTTCATCCGTCCATTCGTCCACCTGTCCCTCTTCAGGTTAAAGTTTTTGGTTGCTTCAGGTTAAAGTTTTTGGTCAAGGTAGTTTATGATGAAGTTGAAGTCCAATCAACTTGAAACTTAGTACACATGTTCCCTATGATATGATCTTTCTGATTTTAATGCCAAATTAGAGTTTTGACCCCAATTTCACGGTCCACTGAACATACAAAATGATAGTGCGAGTGGGGCATCTGTGTACTATGGACACATTCTTGTTTATAGATGAGACAACTGTTGATGAACATATTGGAAATGTGAAAGAAGCACTAGGAAAAAACTCAATATTGATGGAAGACTGTATTACAGTTCTAGATATAAGTTACTGTTCTGTCACATTTTGTGAGTGTCAGAATATGTTAAATAAGTTTGTGAAACTGCTGGGCAGAAAAATCTCAAACACAAATGGGCAAAACTAGGGGAAGGTAAGTATGTCAACTTAAAATCTACTTCAGCTTACATAGGAATGGCTTGAAACTTTACAGTATCACTTTATACACTGTGTAGGTGGCAAACTTCTATTTTATATTCCAGTTAGCTAAATTTTATGGGTTTCTTATCAATCTACGAAAGTCACAGTAAGCGAGCAGAGAGATTACTATCCAGCGACAGCTTGCATTGTCAAATATTTGTATAAAGCTTAATATATTAGAGGGTAGAACACCTGGATGCTTCATATCTTGTATACAGATGCCTTTTGTTAAGAAGATGCCATCTATCATATGTCCATTGCCCTTGACCTCATTTTTATGGTTCAGTGAATGTTGAAAAAAATGTTAGTATTTTTGTCATGTGAATTTCTCACTTATGAGTAATAGGATAACTATATTTGGTATATGGGTTTCTTGCAAGGTCTACATGTCTATCAGACAGGGTTCACCTGATCTCGACCTCATTTCATGGATCAGTGATCAAGGTTTAAGTTGCATGTTTAGGTCTTTCTCAGTAGGTGAAATGTATGTGGTGTATGGAATGATTGTAAGGTGTACATAATAGAAAAACAAAGGATATGGGGTATCCATCCACGACATTCTAGCAGGTTTCATCTGACCTTGACCTCATTTTCATAGTTCATTGGTCAATGTAAAGTTTTTGTGTTTTGGTCTGTTTTTCAAATACTATATGCAATAGGTAAACTTTATTTGGTGTATGGAATGATTGTCAGGTCTACATGTCTGTTTGGCTTGTATCATCTTACCTTTGCTTAGTTTTCATGGTTCATTGGTCAATGTTACGTTTTCGTTGTTTGGTCCTCTTCTCATATACAATAAGTAATAGGTCAACTATATTTGGCTTATTTGTGTTCTGGTGGGTGGTGTGTGCTGTCCAAATTTTTTACTATTTCTGGTATCCTTTTTATGTATTATTGAAATAGTTTCTAATGGATTTCCAGGAAAGAAACAACAATATTATGTAATGTGATCAATACCAGCTGTTAAGTCTTCAGTTAAGTAATTTTAATGTCATACCACAAGAGCCGTTTATTATTTGTCTTTTTTTAAAGGTCTCACAGCATGATCTTGTCTTTTCCAGTCAATAATTTTGATCCTCAATCAGTCTTCAAGGTTGAAACTGTTTACCAGTAATCCCAGCTGAATCTTGCACAAGGAAATTTACAAGCTAATGGTAAAATGAAGAAATGGAGAGTGGCATTTATTATAATACATATTCATCAGCTGTGTATAGTCAGTGCTTTGGTACCGATATAATTTATAACATATTTTTCTAAAATTCCCTGTTGATAATTTGTTTACAAAGAAACTACCATTTAAACTTCTCCAGACAAAGTTGACCTTGTATAAATTTGGCTATTCTTTTTAGGTCCTTTTTATACGGCCGCAAAGTTTTTGTGTTCATATTATGCTATGGCGATGTATGGATCTCTATGAAATTTTAGCACAAGGTTCCATACCACAATAGGAAGGTTTGAATTGATTTTTTTGGGTTATTGTTGTAGAGGTTTAGTAATTAAGGGCCAAAAAGGGGCCAAAAACAAGCATTTTTCTTGTCGTCTGAAGACATTTTGGTTCACAGACAATAACTTGAGTATAAGTGTATGGATCTCTATGAAATTTTAGCACTTGGTTTCATACCACAATAGGAAGGTTGGGATTGATTTTGGGGGTTATTGTCGTAGCTGTTTAGTAATTAAGGGCTAAAAAGGGGCCAAAAACAAGCATTTTTCTGGTTCGCAGACAATAACTTGAGTATAAGTATACAGAGTTTATGAAATTTTAGCACAACGTTCCATACCACAAAATGAAGTGAGGATTGATTTTGAGGGTTATTGTCATAGCTGTTTAGTAATTAGGGGCTATAAAGGGGCCAAAAACAAGTATTTTTCTTGTTTCAGGACAATAACTTGTGTATAAGTGTATGGATCTCTATGAAATTTTACCACAAGGTTCCATTCCTCAAAAGGAAGGTTGAGATTGATTTTGGGAGTCATGGCCCAAATCGTTTAGGAATTAGGGGCCGAAAAGGGGCAGAAGATTATAACTAATCATGGAAATTAAATATTAAAATGAATAAAGGAAAGTTTGTGATGTATTAATTCCCAACACATTAGCTAATGTGTGTATTGGATTGATTATTTTGTAATTCTTTGTTTGTTATATTTCAATGTATTTCATGAGGGCCTCAGGAAAGATTAGTTTTACAGCTAACTGTGTAACCCTCTTTAGATAAATAATTATTATTACATGTATTATAATTATTATTATTTAAAAAAAAAAAAAATTCTTCCTATAAAAACTACACACACAATTTGTATTACATATTTACATTTGTATTTAACTAAATATTCACATTTATGAATATGGATAAGTTTTGTGTATTTACTATTGATTCATTCATGCAGAAATTACCACCTATTATCAAGAAAACAAAACGTGTGGTATTCATCAAATAACACACTTAAAATTGAAGTGACAAATTTATTTGAAAATTTTGAGTTTTCTAAGTGGTCTGGCTGATAAGCTGATTTTAAATCTATCATCATTTTGATGCGATTTCTTGGTGATAACTGTAGGACTGTATTAATGGGGAATGATATTTTGGAAATTGTTTTTTTCATTTTTTTTGTAAATTTTTTTTTTGAAGAACTTCGTCATAGGTTTGTTTGTTATTCTGTATAAATTACTTTTCAGAATGCTATATATATATATATTTTATTTATGAAGCAAACCCCTTTAAAAACTTAGCTCATATTGTTCATTAATAAATAAATTGATTAAATTCTTGGTGTACTTTGATATGCTGAATCTGTCCAAATCAGGGTCCAAAAATTGAATATATGGTGTTCTTTGATATGCTGAATCTAACCTTGTATTTAGATTTTGGATTTTCAGGACCCTGTTATCAAATTTGTCGACATTGAGGTCCAAAGGGTCCAAAATTAAATTTTATTTGATTTCATCAAAAATTGAATTCTTGTGGTTCTATGATATGCTGAATCAAACCGTGTATTTAAATTTTGGATATTGGACCAAAAAAGGTAAAAGTCCAATTTCAAATTTTTAAGTTCTCTGACCACATTTATTCTGTGTAAGAAACCTATAATGTGTCAAATATTTAATTACAATCCAAATTCAGAGCTGTATCAAGCTTGAATGTAGTGTCCATACTTGCCCCAACTGTTCAGGGTTTGAATTCTGCGGTCGTATCAAGCTGTGCCCGTGGAGTATTTTATTGGTCATATATATTTATACATTTGTGACTTTCAAATGTTTTGGTTTGAGCATTCCTGATGAAGGTAAATCCAGAAAAGGGCTTGACGGAAAAAATTATAAAGTGTGATGATCAGTTATTTGTTTCAAGAATCATTTTTGTCTCACCTGCCACAAAAGACGCAGTATGTGAGACATAGGTATTTCTATCCAGCGGCTACAGCGATGCTATGTAAACTATTTGTATAAAGCTTAATATTTCAGAAGGTAGAAGACCTGGATGCTTCATATCTTGTATGCAGATACCTTATGTTACAAAGTTTCTGTCTGTCATATGTCCATTGTCTTTGACCTCATTTTCATGGTTCAGCGATGCTTGAAAAAAAATTGAGTTTTTTTGTCATGTGGATTTCTCACTTGTTATGAGTAATAGGATAACCATATTTGGTATATGGGTTCCTTGCAATGTCTACATGTCCATCAGACAGGGTTCACCTGACCTTGACCTCATTTCATGGATCACTGATCAAGGTTAAAGTTATGTGATTAGGTCCGTTTCTCAATTACTATAAACAGTAGGTCAACTATATGTGATGTATGGAATGACTGTAAGGGTACATGTCAGTCTGGCAGGTTTCATCTGACTTTGACTTCATTTTCATGGTTGATTGGTCAATTTTAAGTTTTTATGCCCCCACAACATTATTCATTTACCCCTGTCCGTCAGTCCGTTCGTCCCAATATAGATACATATGTCCAGCTATCTCCTCCTACAGTTTTTGAGCTACAGCTTTAATATTTTGTAGGATGTTTGGACTTTTTTGTACTAAAAGTCAGAAAGGGGGGGATGTTAGATATTCACAAAAAACAGTAGTTGGGCTTCATTTCCTTCTCACCTGCTATATAATTGAAAACATATTTTGTACTACTACAGTTTAATGTCCCTAATGCAATAAATATTAAATTTTTTAGTATTGTCAAATATTTAAATAATACTGTGAAGTTGAACTTGGTGGCTACTAAAACTGGAAAGTTGAAACCTTTTGGCTGGACATTCAGACCTGCAAGTGTAGACATTCAGAATAAAATAAAAGATAGATCATCATACATAGCGTTAAATTTATACTTTCTTATGGTCATCATTTGTGTCTTACAGACAGCGCAACAATTTCAATTTGTACTTCAACATCACTGTTTGTCAAATCTAAAGTATGTGGAACTATACTCGTGCACATGGCAGAGCAGAGGGGGGCATCGTTCATATCTAGTTGTGTTTTGGTCTGTTTTTCAAGTACTACATGTACAAGCAATACCATAAGCAATAGGTCAACTATATTTGGTGTACAAAAAAATTGTAAGGTGTATATGTCTGTCTGACAGGATTTATCTGACCTTGAACTCATTGTCAAAGATCTAAAAATTTAAGATTATGTGATACTTTTAGTAAAACCTTTATCTTTTAGACTTTCAACATAAAACAAATGGTCAGTAAAGCAGGCGAGACATTTCAGCGTGTGCACTCTTGTTGGATCAAATATATTAATAATATGGCTTTGATGTGATATATACTTTTAGATGTTCTGTTGTTGATTGTTGAGTTTCTGCCTCAGTGCAAACATTACCCCATATGTATTATCTGTAAAAAAACCCAGCAAAAATGCAATATTTTCTAATTTAATAATAATATTAATACAAAATTGAAAGGTATAACATTTTAAATAAATACAAAGATAGGTAAGTAACATATGTTCAATGTAATGTCCATATATTGAAGCTTAATTAGATCCAAGTCTTTCATAAAAGATATGTTCCGGCTGGAAAAAGGAATCACACACACACACATGCATACATTTGTACATGTTTACAAACATATCATTTCTGTTAGTAACTGATAGTCCCTATTGAAACTGACTTTTTTATTATTCATTTTAACATACTCATATCACAACAATCTATACAGATTGAAGATGAAGATACTTACAATTATACAACTTAATGTAAAGATGAAGATACTTACAATTATACAACTTAATGTAAAGAGGCATGTAGAGATAAACTTTCAAAAAAAATAGATTGCTCTGACCTACATTTCATGCTTTAGTGACTAAAGTTATATTTATTTCTTAGACTTTTTATAATCATGCATACAACTAAATGAAAAATTTAACAGCCTCTCATCAAAAATTATATAAATGTCCGAGTTCAGTTGTCAGGACAGTAATAAAATTTTGTGTATCAATATTCTTAATGTACATAGATGATGTAATTGACTCCCACAGGCACTTAAAGTAGGATACTGACATACATTTTTGTTTCATTTATCAACTTAACAAGATACAATTTTACATATGACATTATCAGGGGAGGAAGGGACAAAGAATCCTAGTGAATCTACAATATGCTTACATTTAAGAACTACGATATATATATATATACATGTATAACACATAAATCTAAACATTTAACATTTACATAAATAGATTTTGTCAAAAATGACATCCATTAATTGTTCAACCCTAAGTTATATAATTAAATACCTGGTAATACAAATGTTTACAGCACAAAAATAAAATTTATATTATTTAGAGAGATTTGTTTTAATAAGCATAGGTATTCTCTATAAAATTTAATTTCAGACCACTTGAAAATAAACAAAACTTTAGTTTTATAACAGGTTTGTGCTTTGGAAGATAACTTACATTGGTATGTGGTAACACAGATATGTCTTGCCAGTTGCCTAAGTAAACTAATCACAAACTTTAACAACTGTTAACTGTAAAATAGCTGCAAGCAACAAGTTTGGCACAGATGAGACAAGAATTAATACAAGCCTAAACCAATTTTCTTTCAAGTAGAAATATTAGAAGAACTGTTTTTAATAAGGAAATGAGGTTTTCTGCTATAACAATTGCTTGTCCTGTTGTGACAAAACAACTTTATGTTACATGTGTTATTACATCTCCTGAGTGCTGCACATTCAGTCATGGGACCTTCACAATCAGACCTGAATTAAATCAACAGGAGTTATCTCTCTTTACCCAATGGTATATTTTCTCACCTGTCCCAGTAGGATATTATAATTAGAGTTACCTTCTCTTTGGTAGTCAGGTGTCTTAGTTTTATATAATTGAAGATGTACATGTAAGTAATATTTACATGTATAAGTGAACTTTTTGAATAATCTCCCCTTACACTTCTCCAAAAATTTACTTATAAAGGTGATATTCAAATTTTGAGAGGTCAAAACATGCCTCATGCATTTTTTCCTGGTTTGCATGTAATATATTTTAAATAAGAATTCAAAATTTTCTCTCAAGAAAGAACTCTACTACTGTATGCACAGATGTTTTCAGGCAAGGTCTTAAAAACTGGAAATTTGAAATAGGCAGTATTTTAAAAATTACAGACATTGTCCATGAAATTGTACTTCTATAGTATTAAAGAGTAGAATTCAAAAGATTAATATTGTTTTCTGAGTTGTAATTCATAGGTATAACCTTTACAAGTACCTTTTATCTTTCTTGTAAAATTTAGGGTGAATTTGAAATAAGTAACTTGAACAAGTAAGATTCTGACTTGCACAGGTGGATCCCCTGACAGATATGTTATACCTATAACTGGATAGTAATACTGTTGGTAACTCAATAACTATTATAAATCATACAAATATCATTTAACTTCACCAAAGCTAACATGTCCTGAAGCTTTCGCATGCTTTTGAGCCTCACTCTGCCCGGTGAACATTCTCTGACAGATCAAACATTTGATAGAAAAATTTGTCACATCAGTATATTGTCTGGCCTGTCTAGCTTCAGTGGCAATTTCTTGTGCCTGTGCAAGAACTGATGCATTGTCTGCAGGAAAAATTGTTTGAACTGGTAAAGATGAGTCGAATGGTTCCAACACAAGAGGGTCATAATGAACACCATCATATATAATAAGAACACGCTGGTCGTAATGGAGATCCTCTCCAAATCTATCTATTCTACAACTTTGAGTATCCACAACATCAATTTCTACATCATAATACTTGGATAGTATTGAAATTTCTATAGCACCACCCCATGTATCATCCTTCATAATCCATTTACAATAACTAGAATTAGATCTTCCAAGGAACACATCAGAGTATGTCTGTGGATCGCTCATCACAACCCCAGCTATAAGTTGCCTAATAGATGGTGCATAATCTAAATCAATTTTTCCACCATTCATGACAGCATTAATGCTTGTAAACAAACAGGAGTTATTAGCAGGTACAACTTTTCTCATTAAAACCCCTCTTCCCATCAAATTCTGGTCCTGCATTACATCACCAATGTTTTTCTGCAATGTATTTCTAACAACTCTCTCTTCTTCCACAATAAGTGTGTCCCCAGACCTGAATGGTAGTGAAGATAATAATAAGTCTTCCTTTGACAGATCAATAGATTTGGGAGGATAACTCTGTCTAACTCTTATGTATTCCTTAGGAATTTTAGTCAGTTCTGATATTCTATCTTTGAGCTGTCCTACATTAGAGGATAATTTCAGTCCTGTTAAACTGTGCTGTCCAGTCTTGGTTTTACATCTTAGATTCAGTACCGAGTTACTCATTGTTACACAAAATCTGGAAATAGAAAACACATTAATTCCACAAGTCAAATTTGTTTCTTGTCCGATATATAATATTATTTTAAAAGAAAAAAAGATGTATTTAACCATTAAGTGGTTAACGTTTCTATTTTTTAAATCTCTTAAAAATTAAGAAATGAACATGTTTAATTCAATATTTCTATTTGTATAATTTATGAAAGATACATCCACACTAATTCATTAACCTGGCACATCCAAATATTAAATAAATACTAAATATTTAGATACGCTTAGCATCACAAGCAAAAACTAAACAAAGATACCAGGCCATATCAATATAACTTTTGGGGCAATGAGTGGAGAGGTACATTGTAATGGGTCTAACACAAAAAGACGATAAAAATACTTATTTAATTGTCTCAGCTGCTTTACTGATTATGAAGTGATAACACTGAATCTTATGTTGAAAGTCTTAAGATCAAAGGTATGACTACAGGTATCACATTATCAATGACCCATGAAAGGGAGTCACAATCAGACAAGACCTGTCAGAAAGACTTGCACAACTTTCAATTATTCTATTAAAGTCGACCAATAACTTATAGTGACGTAGAATCTGTTATTAACACAAAAACTTAAATTTTGCTCAATTACCATTTTATACACAAATATGGTTGACCTTATAGAATCTTCAGTAACACACCTACTCCGAAAAACATAACGTAAAATACCAATTAAGTTGTCCTAAAATAAAACTGATGTTTAATACTATGCCAAAATGTGGTTTATATCATCCTATTTTAAAAATATAATAAAAAGTATATGGGTAACAGAGCTTTTTTTAAGCTATAGGTTGTTCAAAATTGCCTGATTTTGTATAGATTGTACATGGAAAAACAACTTTTGTGTAATTAGAGAGAAAACTAAATTATAGAATTTGAAGATAAAACATGAAAAGATAGCTCTTATAATTTCCTTTCAGAAGATAAAAAAACATTGGGATCACAGAGCTCATTTTCTTGCAAAACAAATATTCACATTCCTTTATAAAAGTTTGATTATCTGTGCTATCTCACCTTATATGGCTAAATTTAATAATAAAAAAAATTCTGTATTCTAAAAAAAAAGTTAAGGACAAGTAAAAACACACAATTATCTTCAATTGAATGATATGTCTTACAAATGAATTGCATTTCTCTCTCAAAACTTTCATATTTCATTAAAGACAGCTATTTTTTCCTGCTATTTAACAATTTTTAAATGATGGAATGCACCATATCTACCTTAAACCATATTTTGTACAATTACAGATTATGATGTGTCAACTTTGCAGCATAAAGCATTTTTTCCTCCATTAAGTATTTCCAGAATCATGACCTCTGAACTTAAGTAAATGGGGAATGTGTCCATGGGACACATATGATGCCCCTGCTTGCATATCATAGTTATAAAGGGACATAACTGAAGATCGCTAAAAGTGACACTACCCAAGTTTGTACTCAATCCGTATTTTGTGGTAATAAGTATAGCGTATATAAGTTTCATAACATTTTGTTGAGGCAAACTAAAGTTAGAGAACGGAAATGAAAAATTCAGCAATTTTTCCATTTGTAAAGGGGCATAACTCTAGAACAGTTAAAGAGACGCCACCAAAATTCAAACTTGAACTGTGTTTTGTGGTAATAAGCATTGTGTTTAAGTTTCATAACATTTGGTTGAGGCAAACTAAAGTTAGAGAACGGAAACCAACTTTGGGACGTACGTACATTCGGACAAGGGTAAAACTTAATGCCCCCTCCGCTATGGCAGTGGCATAAAAATTCATTTCATTAACTATTCAAAATGCACTTTAAGGAAGCAGCATCTCCTACATGCATTTTCAGATGTTCATGAAATGTTTTACCTTGTAATGTCCTTACATGAATATGTATGTATACATATAAGTAGGGCATCCTTGTCCATTGCCATACATTGTGTATATCCAGGTCAGAGTTCAGCCCCTTTGCATATGGAAATATTTCATACTATTTAGTATGCAATTTGTAATTATTACTAATAACTCCTCCTACATATACATGCTTTATCAAATGTTCAACTGTTCATGTGAAAGTTTGTATATTGTAAGATCAAAACATATAGATGCACACATTAATAGGCATCCTGGTCAGTTGACAAAAGAGTTATGCCCCTTCCATCAAAGAAATTTTTGATACTATTCATTGTCATTTGTGGAGGCAACTACTCCTAGCTTCGAGTGTGGAGATTGTGGGGTCTTTCCTCAATTGGGTAAACCAAAGACTTGAAAATTGGTTTTTGCTGCTTCTGTGGTTGTTAAGCACACGACATTAAGGAGTAAGAGCAAAGTGAATAAAATGCTTCGCTGGGGCGCAGCTTGATACGACCGCAGAGGTCGAACCCTGAACAGTTGGGGCAAGTATGGACACAACATTCAAGCTTGATACAGCTCAGAATTTGGATTGTTATTAAATATTTGACACAGCATAGGTTTCTGACACAGAAAGAATGTGGTCTAAGAACTTGAATTTTTTTAATTTACCTATTATGGTCCAATGTCCAAAATCAAAATACATGGTTAGATTCAGCATATCAAAGAACCCCATATATTCAATTTTTGTTAAAATCAAACAAAGTTTAATTTTGGACCCCAACTTGGACAAACTTGAAAACTGGGCCCATAATCAAAAATCTAAACACATGTTTAGATTCAGCATATCAAAGAACCCCAAGAATTCAATTTTTGTTAAAATCAAACTAAGTTTAATTTTGGACCCTTTGGACCTTAATGTAGACCAATTTAAAAAACGGGACTTAAAATTAAAAATCTAAATACACGGTTAGATTTGGAATATCAAAGAACCCCAATAATTCAATTTTTGATGAAATCAAACAAAGTTTAATTTTGGACCCTTTTGACCTCAATATGAACCAATTTGATAGCGGGGCCCACAAATAAAAAATCTAAATTCATGGTTAGATTCAGCATATCAAAGAACCCCATATATTCAATTTTTGTTGAAATCAAAAAAAGTTTAATTTTGGACCCCAACTTGGACCAACTTGAAAACTGGGCCCATAATCAAAAATCTAAACACATGTTTAGATTCAGCATATCAAAGAACCCCAAGAATTCAATTTTTGTTAAAATCAATCTAAGTTTAATTTTGGACCCTTTGGACCTCAATGAAGACCAATTTAAAAAAACGGGACCCAAATTAAACATCTAAAAACACGGTTAGATTTGGCATATCAAAGAACCCCAATAATTCAATTTTTGATGAAATCAAACAAAGTTTAATTTTGGACCCTTTTGACCTCAATATGAACCAATTTGATAGCCGGGCCTACAAATAAAAAATCTAAATACATGGTTAGATTCAGCATATCAAAGAACCTCATATATTCAATTTTTGTTGAAATCAAACAAAGTTTAAATACTGGACCCTATCTTGGACCAACTTGAAAACTGGGCCCATAATCAAAAATCTAAACACATGTTTAGATTCAGCATATCAAAGAACCCCAATAATTCAATTTTTGTTAAAATCAAACTAAGTTTAATTTTAGACCCTTTGGACCTTAATGTAGACCAATTGAAAAAACAGGACCCAAAATTAAAAATCTAAATACACAGTTAGATTTGGAATATCAAAGAGCCCCAATAATTCAATTTTAGATGAAATCAAACAAAGTTTAATTTTGGACCCTTTTGACCTCAATATGAACCAATTTGATAACGGGGTCCACAAATAAAAAATCTAAATACATGGTTAGATTCAGCATATCAAAGAACCCCATATATTCAATTTTTGTTGAAATCAAACAAAGTTTAATTTTGGACCCCAATTTGGACCAACTTGAAAACCGGGCCAAAAATCTAAATACATGTTTAGATTCAGCATATCAAAGAACCTCATATATTCAATTTTTGCTAAAATCAAACAAAGTTTAATTTTGGACCCTTTGGACCTTAATGTGGACTATTTTGAAAACTGGACCCAAAATTAAAAATCTAAATACACTGTTAGATTCGGCATAACAAATAAATAAATGTGATCAAAGATTTTACAAATCTAATGCGCCATACTGTGCAATTAAAGATTACTTCTTGAAATTTTTCAACATTTGAAATTTGAAAAAAAAATAATATTTGAAGAATAATTCTTTTTAATTTCTGAAATCTGAAATGAGAAAAAATTGACCCCCCACAATTTCTTTTTACCCCCCCCCCCCCTTTTTTTCCCCAAAAAAATTCTTTCCCTCAAGATATGGTCATAATCTCAATTCAAATTTCCAATGGAGTTGGCAATCATAATTACCCATTTAAATTTACCATAGTGCTAACTTAATCTATTTTATAATAGAATTAAAAATATAGTGTCAAATCTTTCATATGGATTTTTTTGTAAAAAAAAATGATGCAACATTTGCAGATATTTTTACTGGTCTTCCTTTATAAATATGCATTTCTTTAAACATAATTTAAAAGCAGTGTAAGGGAAGTAACTAAAACATTGTATTTGGATTACCTCCCTTACACTGTTTTAAATTATCTTTATTGTTCATTAACCATTACTTTATACATAATTTAAAAGCAGTGTAAGGGAGATAATTTCAATGATGTATTTGATTTATCTCCCTTACACTGCTTTAAATTATGTTTTGTACTAAAGTATTTGTCCATTAACCAGGACAACCTTGTTTTTCCCCCTTTTTTGCCCCTAATTCCTAAACGGTTTGAGCCATAACCCACCAAAGCAAATCCTAACCATCCCTTTGTGGTATGGAAACTTGTAGTATAATTTTAGAGAGATCCATACACCGTTCCACAGTTATTGTCTGGAAGCTAGAAAATGCTTATTTTTGGCCCCTTTTTGGCCCCTAATTCCTTAACTGTTGGTACCATAACCCCCAAAATCAATCCCAACCTTCCTTTTGTGGTATTTAACCTTATGGTAAAATTTCAAAAAGATCCATTCACTTAAACTAAAGTTAGAGTGCGAAAACCAATGTGTC